CTTCCTTCCTTCCTTCCTTCCTTCCTTCCTTCCTTCTCACCTCTCTCTCTCCTTCTTTCCTCCATTCCTTCCCCCTCCTTCTCCCCTTCCTTCCTTCCTTCCTTCCTTCCTTCCTCCCTCCCTCCCTCCCTCCCTCCCTCCCTTTCTTTCCCTTCCTTCCTTTCCCTTCCTTCCTTCCTTCCTTCCTTCCTCCCTTCCTTCCTTCCTTCCTTCCTTCCTTCCTTCCTTCCTTCCTTCCTTCTTTCCTCCCTTCCTTCCCCCCCTTCTTTCTTTCTTTTCTTCCTTCCTCCCTTCCCCCACTGATCTGGTGTTGGACTGGAAGAGCTGCCCTCTCCCTTCCAACTCCTGTTGCTCTGTTATTTGCGTCTGCCTCGCAGGAGCCTCTACCCTGTGTGGAAATCGTTTCTAGAAAGCACCGTGCAGGTCGCCCAGTCCAGGATCAATATCTGCGAAAACTATAAAAATCTCATTTCGGAGCCTGCCAGGGCCGTGAAGGGCTTTAAAGAACAGCAGCTGAAAAAGGTACGTCCCCAGATTTTCGTTCCCCCGTTGCGACTCGAGGCGCAAGGTGGCCCTTCTAGGCAGCAGGCGGGGAGGTTTACCGAAGACCCGTTCGTTCACATTCTTTACTCTTCTTACACGAGTGATGACGAAGTGTTGAGCTTCGGCTAGTGTGCTGTCTTCCGTTCCCGAGTCTGCGTGTCGTATGTGGTGGCTTGCACCGTCTTTTTCCTCGTTCCTTCTTTCCCCTTCCTCATTTATCCATTCATTCCCTTGCTTTGCCTGTTAAGCGAGAGCTAGTCCTCAGCTTGCAAACAAAATGGGAAGGCAAAATTTGCAAAATTTGCCTACTACTCCTTTAGAACTGATGCTGCTGCCTAGTTGGGTCATGAAACATCTGCAAGAAAACAGCCAAGTTCAGAGACCACCAAGGAGCCCACACTCCTCCTCCTCCTCCTCCTCCTCTTCCTCCTCCTCCTCTTCCTCCTCCTCCTCCCTGCAAACTGTACTCCCTACTAGCACTGATGATGTTACCTAGTTGGGTCATGAAATGTCTGCAAGAAAACCACCCAGCTCAGAGAGCACCAAGGACCCCAAAGTCATTCTCCTCCTCCTCTTCCACATACCCCACTTCCTTCTAGCACTGATGATGTTACCTAGTTGGGTCATGAAACGTCTGCAAGAAAACTACCCAGCTCGGAGAGCACCAAGGACCCCACAGTCCTCCTCCTCCAAATATCTCACTTAGCAACATAAATTTTGGGCTCAATATGTGGCCGTAAGTCAAGGACTACCTGTACCCGAACCATACAAATGTACCTAGGTATTGTTCTTTTGAATACCGCGTGCTAGGAACCAGAAAACGGGGGAAAGGTTTTTATTTGAAGTGGGGCAAGAACTCACCTTCTCCTGGTGATTGACCCACCCAGCCAGCTTACCTGCCTAAGGTGAAACTAGAATTCACAATCGCCTGGGGAGTGACCCAGAGTCACCCAGTTGCCTTTCATGCCTGAGGCGGAATTAGAACTCACCGTCTCCTGGTGGTTGGCCCAAAGTCACCCAGCCAATTTGCATGCCTAAGGCAGGACTAGAACTCACTGTCTCCTGGTATCTAGCCTGGTGCCTTAATCACAAAACCAGATTTGGCTTTTATATAATATTTTGTTGGAATTTTTAATTTGTTTGAAAAAATTTTATTAGGCCAAAAAGGAGACAGAACAGCTAACCCTTTTGTAAAAACTAATAAATGAAACCACAACCATCCATAATAGTATTCCTTGCATAATCTCTACAAACAGATTCTTTTCTGAAAGTATCTCTCCTTCTTTCTCTCCTTCCTTCCTTCCTTCCTTCCTTCCTTCCTTCCTTCCTTCCTTCCTT